CAGACTTGTTCGTCTCACAGCTTTCCCTACACCTGTCCACAGTGTCTTCATTCTTCTAGTTTCTCAGGTCAGAAATCTTGGAGTCATTAAAAATATTTTTACATTTTAGTTTATTAGTATATATGTATAGTACATAATGCTTACATTTCTTGTGGGGAGTTGGTCACGTACATAATACCTCTTCATTCCTTTTTCACCCCCTTTCTTTTTTCCCTCCACTTACCTCTTGATCTCTTTCCTCTTGTAATACATGTTTGCAGTATATAATGTTTACATTCCTTGTGTGAGTTAGTTCATGTACATAATGCATCTCAATTTTTTTATTTCATCCCTTCTGCCTCCTCTCCCTCACCTTGTTTCCATTTCCTGATCCCTTCTGAGAATGATCTACCTCTCTAATTCCTATTCTGTCTTTTATTTGCTCTTTAGTTTTTGCCCTAGGTTTCTTATAAAGAGAAATCATGTGGTATGCAACATTTTGTCTGATTTATTTAACTTAACATTATGGTCTCAAGGGGCATGCACTTTCCTGCAAATTATTCAAGTTTTTCCTTCTTCATGGAAGAGTAGCACTCCACTGTGTCTAAACACCACATTTTCTTTACCCATTCATCTGTTGGTGAGCGTGTGGCCTGTTTTCAAGATTTAGCTCTTATGAATTGTGCTCCTATAAACATGGGCATGCATGTATCACTGTAATAGGGTGTCTTCAATACTTTCAGAAATACTCCTAAAGGGAAATACCTGAGTCAAATGGAATTCCTAGCTTCAGGTTTTAAGGAACCTCCACACTTAGTTCCATAGTGGTTGTACTAATTTACATTCTTGGTAACTGTGTATAAGAGTTCATTTTCCTCACAGCCTCTCCAACATTTGTTATTATTCAAGTTCTTGATGATGGTTGCTCTTTCTAGGGGTAATATGGGATTTTTTGGGTTGTGTTTGGTACAGGGTATCGCTATGCAGGTCAGACTCATAGTGATCTTCCTGTTTTCAGTCTCCCCAACAGTGTGATTACAGGTGTGTGCCACCACACCCAGTCTTGGTGGCCAGCTCAGTGTGCCTGGGGGTGGGGCCTGCATGGCATGTGGTGCCAGTGATCGAATCCAGTCCCTGAACTTGTCTAAGCAGGCACTTAGTCTACTGAGCTATCTTGCCACCCCAGTAATATGGAATCTTAATGTTATTTTTATTTGCATTTCTCTAAAGGCCAATGAGCTTAATTATTACCTCATATATTTATCATCGTTTTGTACTTCTCCTGTGAAGTGTCTATTCCTTTTGCTTGCCGATTTTTTGATTGAGTCTTCTGTATCGGGAGGGTTGTTTTCTGAGTTCCTTATATATTCTAGATGTCAATCCTCTGTCTGAGGGATAACTGACAAAATGTTTTCTCATTCTGTAGGTTTTCTTTTTACTATGCTGGTTGTTCCTTTTGCTGTGCAGAAGGTTTTTAATTTGATATGATCCCAGGGCTGGGGAGATAGCTTAGTGGAATAAGTGCTTACCCAGCAAGTGCAAGGTCCTGAGTTCAATCCCTGGTACCACCAAAAATAAATAAATTTGATATGATCCCATTTAGGGATTTTGTTTTATTTATTTATGTATTTATTGTGGCTAGGATCAGCCTGCACTGGGGACAGGGCTGGCGCAGCATGTGGTGCTGGGAATTGAGCTCTAGTCCCTGTATTTGCCTAAGCTTGCCTAAGCAAGCACTTTAATTCACTGAGCTATCTCTTGTTTTCTTTTATTCATAGACAGCATTTCACTATGTAGTTCAGGCTGGCCTTGACTTAACTATGTAGCCCAGACTGTTCTCAAACTCACAGTGATCCTCCTTCCTCAGCCTCCAAAGTGCTGGGATTACAGGCATGTGCCACCATGCCTGCCTCTGATTCCATTTATTGATTCTTGACACTATTTCTTATGCAACTGGGGCTCTGTTCAGACAGTCTTTGCCTATGCCTATGACTTCAAAAGTTATACCTACTTTGTCTTCCATCAGGTTAAGTTGTCCTGGTTTAACATTTAGTTCCTTTATCCATTTGGATTTTAGTCTAGTACATGGTGATAGATATGGGTCTAGCTTCAGTCTTCTGCGTGTGGATAGTCAGTTTGCCCAACACCATTTTATTTATTTATTTATTTATTTATTTATTTATTTATTTATTTTTTGGCAGAACCAGGGATTGAACTCAGGCCCTTGCACTTGCCAGGGAAGCGCTTATTCCACTGAGCCATATCCTCGGCCCCGCCCAACACCATTTTAAAATAGGCTATCTTTTCTTTGGAGTCATTTTGACTCCTCTTTCTCATACCGTACGTCAATAGATCTTGTCTCTCCTTCGGGCTCTATTCAGAATCTAACCACTTTTTGTCACCTGTACTACCATGTCCAAGTTACCATCATCTGTACTGGCAACAGCCTCTTGCCTGACCATTTCTGTGCCTCCAGCCCTGTGGTCCATTTTCCACATATATTTGACCAGTGGGCCCTCTGTAATGTAATTCTACCCACAATGCTCTTTCCTATTAGCCTTTCTCTATAAGTCTTGTGTTCCCTCAGTAAACCCAGTACCCTTACAGTGGCCTCAAAAGACCTTCATGTTCTGGTCCCTGACAACATCTCTGACCCCATCTTGTTTCCCCTTCCTCACAATACTCTGTCTTTATTCAGATCACCCAGTATTTGGAACAGCAATTCTCTCTTCCTCTTGTCTGTCCCTCTTTCCCCTTCCTCCTTTATTTTTCCCTATAGTGGTAATCACAATCCGCATATTTTACTCATTAACTTTATTAACCTCCAGTAGTATGTAAGCCTCACTACATTAAGAGGCAGTGTTGGTTTTGTTCACTCATGATGGTTTAAACTAGACCAGGCACACAGAAGTCCCTCAATAAATATTTGTTGATCCTTCCAGGGATCAGGGCCAGTTGCTTAGAAGAACAGCTAAGCATGCTGACTCAGTCATGGATACTAGTGTCTGGTCCAAAGGCAGGCTTGCCTGGTTTCAAAAATTGATTCTACCACTAACTAGCGAAATAAACAACCCAGGCCTTAGTTTTCTCATTAGCAAAGTAGAGACAATAATAGAACCTATTTGATAGTCATTGGGGTCACTAATAACTATAAAATCCTTATAACAGTACTCAGTGCATAGGAAAGGCTATATAAACATTTGCTATAATTATAAGCATATGAGATTTAAAACATATGAGGTGGGACCAAAAATAGGATTATATTTAACTTTTTAAAAAATTATCATAGTAAAAGACACATTGCTATTAATCCCCCTCAAAATATTCTCCCATGTTTCAAATGTGCTTATCTAATTGTTCTTGCTACATTAAAAATAATTTTATTAACATGTGTTTGTGATAATATGCATATAGAATCTTTATTATTTTAAATAGGAAAAGACAAAATTCCAAAACAAGATAATGGGAAGGTGATAATGGTTAATATGTTGCATATTGTTATCTTTAAATCAGTTACACAGAGTATAAGATATTGACATTTAATTGTCCAAACAATACTAGCACAGACTTTCTTTTCAATGAACTAAAGAAGTTAGTAGTAACAACTATCTTAGTACATATAAAATCTTTTTTATTTTTTAATTTTTTAAAGGAATACAAAATGGTAAAAAGACTTAGAAATAATACAAAATTTCATTAAGCAAAGTAATAGGAATTCGACAATGTTTGTGTTGAGTAATGTTATCTTCAAACTAGTTGTTTAGGTTACCAGATATAGACATGCAAAATTGGTAAAGAAAGAGTTGTAAGAAATTAAAAAGAAGAAAAAATAAGTAAAAATAAATTTGAAGCATTAACTTCTCCTTTGACTAGCCCAGCAGAAATCAGCAGCACAATTATCCAAGCTCTCCTGCATGTATATACCATCTCAATCCACTTACTTTCCCTTTCCCTCTCTTCCCTTCCGTCCTCCCCTTTCCTAGAACCCCTTCCCATATCCACAAATCTTGCCACTTTCTGATGCAGTGCTAGAATTTCTCTTTCATGAGTGTTTTCTGTTGTACTGTTACGGCTGCCTTGCTGTCCTGAATGGAATCAAAACATCTACCTTTTGTGATCATTGTGATTTTGGAGAAAAACCAAGAAGTCATGCAGTGCCAGTTCCAGCAGTTGAGGTGGATGAGGGCACATCGTGCTTTTTGAGCTTTTCCTTTCTTTTGCATGGCACTTGGAAGCAGCATTCACTGTATTTTTAAAAATGGCACCTCATAAATACACTCCCAAAAGAAGGCTTCTAAAATTTCTTCTGAAAAAGTAAGAACAATGGAATTGAGTATGTTCAAAGTGAGGGGGGAATATTTTGAGGGGAATTAAAGGCACTGTGTTTTACTGTAATAAATTATACCACAGTTTTGCTTAGTCCTTGTAGTTTAGATTTTCTAAAATCTTTCAACATGTTGTCTTGTGGTTGCCTATATTAAAATTGATTTCTCATGATTCTGCTCCCTTCCACAGTTGTATATAATCAGCTTGTAACTGACTTGTCTCCAGGGCCCCAGCTTTTCTGTAAACTTGGATGTTTCCTTGTGTACAGAATTCCCTCCCACAATCATTTCGAAGTGGTTAAATCATAATCTTACTGGGTTACAGTTTCTCAATCTGTATGCCGAGTGGGTTGGCCTCGATAGTCTCCACGGACCTTTCTAGTTATGATGATCTCCAGGGATGGGACGGGACCCACCCTAAGCCCCACCCCCTTGAATTTGACCTCTGGCTTCCAAGGGAAAGGGTGACAGAGTCAACTGGGCTCAGCTTCAAGGGGAGCAGGTAGGAGATGTGCCAAACTTCTTGGGCAAGGGTGGTGAGAAAGCGCCTGGGCTCTAGCCAGGTGGAGGGAAGGTGTCAGGGGCAAATACAGTACAGGGAACTGGGCCCAGGGAAGGAGCGAGGTGAAGGTACATGGAGGAGGTACTAGGGAACTGCAGTCACCCTGATTTCTGCCCTTTCTTTTCTAGGAGGCCATGGCCAGTGCAGAGCCCTCACTGTTCACGTCCCTCAGCCCCAGCCCTGGTTTTGGAGATGATGAACTGGACCTAGAGTGCTGGTTTAATGAGGACTTCAAGTTCATCCTGCTGCCTGTGAGCTACACAGTTGTCTTTGTGCTGGGCCTGGGCCTCAATGCTCCAACTCTCTGGCTCTTCCTCTTCCGACTCCGACCCTGGGATGCAACAGCCACCTATATGTTCCACTTGGCATTGTCAGACACCTTGTATGTGCTGTCACTGCCTACCCTCATCTACTATTATGCAGCCCGCAACCATTGGCCCTTTGGCACCGGGCTCTGCAAGTTCATCCGCTTCCTCTTCTATTGGAATCTCTACTGCAGTGTCCTCTTCCTCACCTGCATCAGTATGCATCGCTACCTGGGCATCTGCCACCCACTGAAAGCACTACGCTGGGGTCGCCCTCGTTTTGCGGCCCTTCTCTGCATAGGAGTTTGGTTGATGGTAGCTGGGTGCCTTGTGCCCAATCTGTTCTTTGTCACAACCAGCATCAAGGGGACCACCATTCTGTGCCATGACACCACTCGGCCTGAGCAGTTTGATCACTACGTGCACTTCAGCTCAGCAGTCATGGGACTGCTATTCGGCTTGCCCTGTCTGGTCACTCTGGTATGCTACAGTCTCATGGTCCACCGCCTGTATCGGCCCTTGCCAGGATCTGCTCAGTCATCTTCTCGTCTCCGTTCTCTCCGCACCATCACTGTGGTCTTGGCTGTCTTTGCTGTGTGCTTTGTGCCTTTCCACATCACCCGCACCATTTATTACCTGGCAAGGCTGCTGGAAGCTGACTGTCAGATGCTGAACATTGTCAATGTGGCCTACAAAGTGACTCGGCCACTGGCCAGTGCCAATAGCTGCCTAGATCCAGTGCTCTATCTGCTCACTGGGAACAAGTACCGACGCCAGCTCCAGCACCTCTGCAGTGGTGGCAGACCCCAGCCTCGCATAACTGCCTCCTCTCTGGCCCTGGTATCCCTGCCTGAGTATGGCAGCTGCAGGTGGGTATCCACCTCCCACAGCAGCAGCTGCCCTGCCCCTAGGGCAGATAGATCATAACATTGTCAGCTGGGAAGTGAGGGGAAAAGAAGTGAGTATGGGCAGAAGTGAGGGAACCCTTTAATGATACTCGGTGCAGTGATTGGTTTGCCCTCTCCTTTTTAGAAAGTGGCAGTAATGATTATTCCACTGTCTCTATTTCTGTCTCTTTATTCCTATCCTTTCCTGGGGCCATTAGTACTGTTTCTGGATTCTGCAAGGCTTCTTCAGTCCTTTTTCTCACTCCATTTCCCTCATGTCCTCCCACAGCTTGCATTTCTCCAGCCAGACCAAAGCATTCAGCTGGAGGGGTGGAGATGGTGGGATAATTGTAGGATCGGCTTTATTTATCTGACAGTGATAATCAGAAGGAGGAAGTAGGGGCACTGGCATATCATACACGCCATATGTGCCATGTGTACCATCCACACCCACTTCCTGGCTCCCACTCAAAGACAGGACAGTCTTGCCTACCTAGGTGCTGAAATAAGGTGCAATCTCAGAAAGCCTGTGTGCCAGGGCTCCACAAGTCACTGGAGGTGTGGCACTATGGAACTGGTGAGCAGCCAAGAGGGTGGGGACCCTGGGGAGATGAAGGGGCAGGACCCAAACTGACAACAGACTTTGGAACAGGAATGAGACTGGGCCTGCTTTCCGATGTTTGCTGAGAACATATTTGCTAGCTCTCCTGTACTTAATGAAAGAGTGGGTGGTTCAGCCTGAGTCAATGGCTGCGAGGGCTGCGCCCAGGGTAGAGGAGGTTTGTGCAGAGCATGGGACAGTGTCAGGAATTGATGTCCAGCACTTGTTCTTCCCTTGTCTCTCCCCTTCCCCAGATAAATGATAAATCTGTCACCAGATCACTCACATCAGACTCTAGGACTTGGAGGCCAGGGCAGGGCACTGGGTCTAGGATGGTCCTTTCAGAATTTCCTACCCATTCGCTTGGCTCTTTGCCCCAGAACTTCTGGGCTTATAGGATTGGGTGACAACATAAAATTTAGGAAACTCCCTCGTAAAGCTTGGGAAATGAGAAGTTCTTTGTAGGCATTCATGGGCAGGGTGGGCTAATACTTGCTTTGAAATTGTTTTCTAGCCAGTTGATGTTCTGAGTCCACTGTTTTGTTTTTTGATTTTTTTTTTTTTTGCAGGGGGCACCAGGGATTGAACTCAGGGCCTTGTGCTTGCCAGGCAGGTGCTTATGCTGCCAAGCTATCACCTTGGCCCCCTGATCTTCTGAGTCTGATCCAAATCTTACCTTTCTTTCACCCCACATTTGCTGACCTGTCTAGTTTTAGCAAATTCTTTCTGGGTTCTAAGAGTTCTCTCTTCCTGGATAGTTGGATTGGGATTGGATTGAAAAAAAAATTACTTTAGTACCCCTGTACCCCTTTTCTTCAAAGAGCTCTTTCTTCCTCCCTAGATATCTGAGACCCTCCTTGTCCAGGGCCCTCTCTATTAGGAGTGGATGAAGTGGCCTTCTCCACTGCTTGCCAGTTTTCCAGACTCACTGCCGCTGCCCAGAGTGATGGCTCCTCATCAGCATTCCCTCCCTTTAATCCCTCACCTCTTCTGCCTGCCAGCCAAGCTGAGTAAGCCTTTTCTCTCCTCCATCGCTTATGCTTAATGGAGACTAGCCACCCAGACTTTCTGGTGTGCTACTCCAGGGCTGTCTTCCCTTATACTTCAGCTTTAGTTGAACACCTTGGCTTTTACCTGGGGCCAGTGTGAACAACTGGCTTGATCCACTAAAATTTCATTTCCTGGAACTTCACCTTACCTTGCTGCACTTGCAGCAAATTGTCCACAGTGACTGTTCCATGTATTTGTCTCCTTCTGAAGGCCCCAGCTCCATCCGACCCTTGTGATTGCTTAGGCAAGGTACCTTGCCTCTTCCAAAGCAGAGAAGATGGAAGGCCTCAGCCTCTCTGTGCTTCACTCACTGTAACACTGCCTTGTTACTTACCTTGTCTTTCTTCCCTGCAGTCTCAGAAGCAGAGTGGTTCTTCTTTCTTGTTCTTTTATTATCCCTCTTCATTGTCAGCCTCTTCCATCGCTGATTTCATAACATCTTAAAAACAACAAACACAAAGCATAACCACTGATACCTTCGCCTTGCTATTCCTTTTGCCTACCAGTCTGTTATTCTTACTCATTTCACTACCAGGTTTCTGGATAGAATACCATAAACCCCAACTCTTCAACACAAAATCACTCCTTAACTCTCAGAACCTGATTTCCTTCTTACTTTCTTGAACTTACCAGAACACAAATTACCTCTTAAACGAGACCTCTGATGATCTATTCTCTGTATTTCTCTTTACCTATTTCACTGGATTCTTTTGCATGGCCTCTTTGAAATAAAAAAAGCATTTAAAACACCTCATTAGAGCAACTTTAAAGGCAATTTTCAGAGAAAATATGTATTTTGGACCCTATGCAATGAGTCCCATGTTCTAAGTTTTGTCAGTTTGTATACAGGTATTTTATGTATTTCATAGAAGGATAGTTGTGACATATATATGTTTTTAATCTCTGCTTTAAAATTTTGTATTGTAAATAGCCTCCCTCTTGATACAGTCTTTTGCATTTGTAATTTCAATGGTCACATCAAATTGCTTCTACCAGTAGGTTATATTTCATTTGACTATTTTGTTTTCTGTGTCTTGAACAACTTACTGTGTATGGATTTTTTCCTTTGTAATTATCTCTAAGATATGTTCTGAGAGTGGGATTATCAGACTAAAGAGCATGAACACTTTATGGCACATGGCTTTTGAAATGACTGCGTGGATTTTCAATGTCATGACAGATGTGTATTCCAGTTTCCTTGCAGTACTAGCATCGTGCTTTATAAGAATTTTTTTTTCAGAACCAGGGATTAAACTCAGGCCCTTGTACTTGCCAGGAAAGTGCTTATTCTACTGAGCCATATCCCTGGCTCCCCCAAAATATTTTTGGGTGATTAAAATTAATTTGGTTTGTTAATTTCTGTTTTTAGTTTAGCTCCTCAATTTTTTATCAGTACATGTTTGCAGTACATAATGATTGCATTCGTTATGGGGAGAGGTTGCACGGACATAAAACATCTGCATTCGTTTTATGGCCCTTGCTCTCCTTCCATCTCTTGGTCTGCTGCCCATCTGCTTTGCTAATTTCATGTACATGATTATTCATGGATTTGAACACACTTTCCCTTATATCTGTTATCTACATTCTTTGCCAGTGGACATTTTAGTGTTATTCTCATAATGAAATTTTTAAAAATATGTTTGTTATATTTGATATAAATGTTTACCCCATTGTTGTAATACCTTAATTCAGTTCTTCATTTTATTCCTTTTATTTAGAACATTTTTCCTTCACTTTTCTCTTTCTGATTACTTCCTTTGTCCTTTGTTGACATTTCTTTCCTTAATTTTCTTTCCTAGGTAAATAGAGTTCCTGAGATCTGTTACAGAGTAATAGCTTTTGGGGATTATTTAATAACTGTCCCCCAACAGATTATGCATTTTTTAAGAACATATATGGAGGTGAATAGTTTTAGGTGACTGATGGCCCTTGAGAATACCTCAGAGATCATTTGGGGCCTGAGCAGCCCTTTGCTTACCAGAGCAGAGAACAGACCCAGAGAGATGACTTACCTAGCTATGACCTACTAAATATAGGGGTGGGAGAGAGACTGAGTCCTCGGACTTCTGACTACCATGGCTCCTTCCACTCCACCATGCCAACTTACTTCCAAGCCTGACCTTTTCCCCCAGCTCCACTTCTGTGTCTTCAATTGCCCTTGGACAGTTTCACTTAGATCTGCCATTGCTATTTCTAACTCAAGATATGAAAAATGCAACTCTCTGAACCAGTTCTTCTACCAGTTTGACTCCTTTCTGCTCATGCCATCTTCTGTCTTCAACTTGCCTAGACCTGCAAACTCCCAGGCAATGTCTACTTTTCTCTCTCCCTATATCACCAGATTCTGACTTTTGGCATGCTGATCCCAGTTGGCCTTCTTTTATGGTCCCAGCATTGCCATTTCAACACCAGCTCTTCTTGCTTTTTCCCTGACTTGTTCTTATACATTTCTACCTGATCCTTACCTCTGGTCTAATGTATCTTTACACAAATGTATCCTACACAATTCACATTGCCAGATTAACTTTCCCCAATGCTCTCCTCAGAATTTCACTCCCTTAGTCAAAACTCATGGCTCTCTGTTGTCTGCAAGTCAAAATCTTTTAGTAAGAAATTCAAGAGGACGTTTTCAACCTCATTTACCATTCTTCCTAAATACAAATCTCTTTTCTCTAGTTAAGCCAGTTTTGTCTTTCTTTCTCCAAATAAGACTTCCAATTTCTCATTACTGTACTTTATTTTTTGTCTCCAACACTAGAACGTTCTCCTTTTCATCTCCTGCTGTCCTTTACCTACCCAGTTTCCAATGCTAGATTGCAGTCTCACTTCCTCTTTCAGACCCTGTATGCTGATGCTTAGCAACAGTGACCTTCCTGGTCACTCCAACTGCAATTATTTCCTGTATCAGTCACTTGGCATTTTAATACCTTTTAACGTTACTTATACTGTTATCTTGACTTGCTGTTTACTTCTGTGTGTTGAATGGCTATCCATATCTTCACCTTGAATTCTTACCCATGAACCCCTTGAGTTACTGTGGTGGAAAACAAAGACATAGGACTTAAAATCCAAAGATCCAAGTATGAACTCTGATCCTGAAAGAGGAGCTCAAGTGTGTCCCTTTGGGTGAGTCACTCAGACTCTGTGAGCCACAATTTCATCACCTGTAAAATGAAGATCATAATCTCCACCTTAAGCACGTCTTCAGCTTAGAGTGAGGCTCTGAAAATCTAGAGAGCTAAGAAAATATAAATGGCTGTTACTATATCATCCTGTTTGCTTAATAAACGGTTTTTGACATATAATGACTGTATGTTAGTACTTTGATTTATTGTTTCTTCTCCTGGGTCTATTCACACTTTATGACATAACATGAACCACCAAGAAAC